TATAGGAACATTTTATTAATTATTTAACATTAATTTAGCATCCGATATTATGTAAAATGAGATTACTAACGGGGCTAGATTCTACGTGCTAAGTTTGAAACAAATCGGTCAGTTATAATTGATCCAAACTTCGCTGGGCAGTTTTGATTCATGACAGACACACAGACATACGAATCAAGTAAATAAATGCATGTCACAACAGCCTGAAATGGGAGTAAAACGGCTTATAAGTTGCATATAAACTTTACACGTAATACTTAATTGTGTTGGAAGAAATTCCTTGATTTTAAGATGATTAAAAATATGCTCATCAAATACACGAGAAATGCAGCTTTCCAATGATGCCAAATACAGTATGATGACGGATATATTCCAACCTTATAATGTAAAACGAAGCAGAAGAGTGCGTGTGAGTAATGGATATAACTAAAGTGTACAAGGATGCAAAATTCTCCATAGATTTACCAGTGGAAGTTAATAATCCCGTATGCATAAAGCTATTGAAGAATAATGTATTAAATGTGTACATGGAGCTATTGAAAGGTTAACTTGGGTTTAAGGAACTGTAACTAAAATCGAATAGTCAATCATGTAGGGAAAATGAAACGTAATGATGTTGAATGTAACTTTAATTTAATTTCACATTAGGACGTGAATTGTGAAATTAAAGTATTTATACATTTCTACATTATCAAAATCGTTTAGTGACGATAGTTTATCATGATTTTTCTAATTAACTAGAAGGCACGACCAGGCCTTGCACTGGCCTTTAAATAAAACGTACAAATAAAGGGTCATATGAAATCTCTACGACCCCACACACACACTCCAAAAACCCTGGCGCGGATATTAACACCTGAAAATGTTACCATTTCAAAGTATGTTGGTATGTTGGGGGGGGGTTCAGATGTTGCGACCTCACATTTTTGCATTATAAAAAAGTAATGTTAGAAAAATATCGATGTTTAAAAAAAAATCAACTGAATTTTGAGGGAGGGGGGGGGGGGTTGTAGGTCGAGGTGTGACGTCATTTTAGGGGGGGGGGTCTGGCTTTTTGTGACGACGTGTGAGGGGGGAAGTAAAAATCGTCAAAAAACCGTGACGTCATTTATGGATGACCCAATTGATATTCTAAAAATAAAAAAAATAAAATAAAATAAAAGTTTTAAAATTCAAATCAAGTGAAGTTGGTCGTTAACACAGATTATAAATTCGCGTCAAATTAATTGTGTTGGCCGTCATTACACTGTGATTCACATATTAACAACTAATGTCAAAGTTGTAATCTAATAGTGATGTGTTTTTTTTTACACATTTCTCAATGAATATAAATTTGATTAACTCGCGTACATTTAATGTAGCACGAAACTAAAGGATACTTTCAATAATATGAAAGCACGACATTTCATCTACATTATATGTATATAAATAAATAATTATATATATATATATATAAATATATATATATATATATATATATATATATATATATATATATATATATATACATATATATATATATATATATATATATATATATATATATATATATATATATATATATATATATATATATATATATATAATGTTAAAACGAACACAGTTTGGGTCATACACTGTCATACACTGTGCTGTAAATTCTTACTGTGCTCTCCCATTAGCTGTAAGATTTCTGAATTAAAATTCTCATAGTAAGGGAGGTGATTAAATAAAAAACAAATTTTAAATAATGTAATTACCTCTCTTATTATGTGGTGTTAAAAGAAGAGTAGATTTATTAATTTTGTGTGTCAGCTAAGACTGTAGTTGAAATGAAGGCTACATATCAATCAATTAAAATCACTTGTAATGAAGGCTACATATCAATTAAAATCACTTGTAATGAAGGCTACAAATAAATTCATTTTTCGTGAAATGAAGGCTTTAAATCAATTAAAATCCCCTGAAACGAAGGCTATATAACAATTCTCTTAATCTATATTAGAAATGTACAATAGCATGTTTTGTATACAAGTCCAGAAAATTTATCCCGCCACTTCTCAGCGAATAGCCTCCTTTTTACAATCTAGTGTTAATTATCTAACAATGCTTAGTTTAATGAAAGAGATTTAACAAACATTCAATATTCATTTTTTTTTAAAGAACAATAAAAAGTTAAATAAAATAAATTAAATTTGCTGTAGTAAAAGCATCGGTTGCTAACTTGATTAAACTTTTCTTACAGACAGATAAACATTGTAAACAAAATACGAATTTAAAAACAGACTTCAAGAGATATTTTTTCTAGTTCAACTACTCGGAAAGATTTAGATCAAAAGTAGTTCTGTTTAAATAAGATGAAACAATAACACGTTATACATTTTAAAAAATGTATTCCTAACTCAATGGGCAGGTTAAACCCCCAAATTGAAAATTAGGTGTTAGGACTTTTTTGAGTGATAAGGAATTTGTAACTAACATTGCATATGAAAACAATGCAAAAAAAAATAATAAAATGTTATGGTTTTGTGAAAATATTATCTAAAACAAAATTCATAAAAAACGTTTTAATAACAAGCTTTTATGTACTAATGCACTAAAAAGTAGAAAATAAATTATAGACTACTATTTAAATAACTAGAAAGAAAAGCGTGGGTCTCTTCCTAAACATTAGTAAAGGTGTCCAATAGATACTAAAGTGACCCATTCTTTTCTTTCTAGTTATTTAAATAGTAGTCCATAATTTATTTTCTACTTTTTAGTGCATTAGTACATAAAAGCTTGTTATTAAAACGTTTTTTATGAATTTTTTTTTTTTGCTGCTTTTGTCTGCCAATATCATGGAAATATTTTTTATCACATTCACGCACAATATGAATGAAATGTAGTACATACAATAAAGCATTATACCACTTAATATGAAGAGATTTTGGATATATTGTTGTTAATTTACTAACGCTTTAACCACAACGAAAATAATAAAAAATTCATAAAAAACGTTTTAATTAATAACAAGCTTTTATGTAATAATGCACTAAAAAGTAGAAAATAAATTACAGACTACTATTTAAATAACTAGAAAGAAAAGCGTGGGTCACTTTAGTATCTATTGGATCCTTTACTAATGTTAAGGAAGACACCCACGCTTTTCTTTATAGTTATTTAAAAACGTTATTAAAACTTTTTTTATGAATTTTATTTTCAGTACTTTACATGTTTTATTTACAATAGAGTTACATAACTAAAAACCATTGCGCGCCTAATGAACGTGATGGAGCAGCAATTGAATGTGATGGCGCAGCTATTGAATGTGATGACGCGTTTGGTGTGATTGGATAGACATGCCTACTAATTCGATCCAAATTTTAATTAATTCATTAAAAATTAATCGGACATCCAATTAAGTCAAATTTAATTTCAGATTGCATTGTCTTCATGTCTTGACCCACGTGTCAAATGTGAATGGCATCGGTCAAGTAGAAGTGACCGAATTTTCACTCCAGCGTTTCGATCTAGACTGACGACTGACGACTGGCGACAGACAGAGGAAGTGAGTTAAATAAAAGCTTGTAATAAAAAGTGTCATTTTAGGGTAAAATAGCTCAATATTAGCTCTCATTGAAATCACAATAACACAGCTTCTGTTTATCAGAATAACACAAATCTTTAACGTAGTGTAATATACGCAATTACAAAAGGATGAACTAAAACAAGTAGAACATAATAAAAAGTGGATTTTATCCAAATTTTTATGAGACCTAAAAAATTTCCAATAAGTAGGGAGTAGACTTAGCATTTTATAAAATGTGAAGTTTAAAAGATATAGAAATTCTTTTAATTCACTTTTACAAGCAGTGTTTAGTAAACATGTGTGCAAAATTTCAGCTAAATAATTTCTTTAGTAGTTTTTGAGTTATAGTGATTTAACTGGTACAATTTTGTTGAAAAGTAACATTTTAAGAAAAACGCTAAATTGTGAAAAAAAAAACTAAATTTGAAAAAAAAAAACGAGAAAAAGAGAAAACTATAACATAAAAGAAAATTTTAAAACCTCACAGTTACATAAATTGCATATGGAGCCTCTTACTCAGCAATAAGAACATCTATTTTAGTTAGTTTTTAATTTTTATGTTGCTTAATGTTGCTTAATAAAGGTGAATTACGTCATTACTCTCATTAATTTAAAAAAAAGTATAAAAAATACGAGCAATACGTAATATGGCAAAATAATTATACAAAAATATTCAGAAATGAATGTAGTTTCAGAAACAATAGATCTTTAAATGTCAACATTTCTGACTTAAATATGTATTTTTTGGGGGGAGGGGGGGGGGGGGGGAGGAATTTGACTAAATTTCCAGGTGGGGCGGACATTGGTAAAAGTATATATTTTCTATATATTCATATGCCTAACTAACTTAAACTCTGTTCCCAAGGTGTCCTAATTTAAAACGTCGCCAAAGTAGACATATTAAGTTAATAAAAAGTCTAGTGACAATTTAAGCGCAATTTCCTTATGTTATCCATAACAATTTTAAATCGAGATAAATCATATATTCAGCAAATAAATAATGCAACACAAGTAGTTTTAATAATTCAAAACAAAATAGAAAAAAAAAAAGACAACTATATTAACCTATATCAACGGAAATAGTTTTATTTTTAACGAGTAGGCCTACACGATGCTAAGTTTAAACATGTAGTAAATATCATCCTAGGAGTACAAGATGCTCAGGATATTTTGTGAAAACTTTCTTCGGCAATATTGTTCTAAATTATGGCAGGAATCGATTGGTAAATGTTTCAAGTCGCTAAGTGGTCTGGTTGCCGAGATATGGTCAAAAAAACTGCATGTTTTCGAGTTTTTTTGGCTTTTCCGGGAAATTCAGGAAGGAATTCCGGGAATTTTTTTGGCCCACAATCATCCTTGGAACTTGCTTAACATATTTGCTTTGAAACTAGTCCTCAATATTTCTTCGTTGAGGAGGAGATACGACTTTAAGCTGCGGACACACATCCATCCATCCATCCATCCATCCATCCATCCATCCATCCATCCATCCATCCATCCATCCATCCATCCATCCATCCATCCATCCATCCATCCATCCATCCATCCATCCATCCATCCATCCATCCATCCATCCATCCATCCATCCATCCATCCATCCATCCATCCATCCATCCATCCATCCATCCATCCATCCATCCATCCATCCATCCATCCATCCATCCATCCATCCATCCATCCATCCATCCATCCATCCATCCATCCATCCATCCATCCATCCATCCATCCATCCATCCATCCATCCACCCATCCATCCATCCATCCATCCATCCATCCATCCATCCATCCATCCATCCATCAATCCATCCATCCATCCACCCACCCACCATCCATCCATCCATCCATCCATCCATCCATCCATCCATCCATCCATCCATCCATCCATCCAACCATCCATCCATCTATCCATCCATCCATCCATCCATCCATCCATCCATCCATTCATCCATCCATCCATCCATCCATCCATCCATCCATCCATCCATCCATCCATCCATCCATCCATCCATCCATCCATCCATCCATCCATCCATCCATCCATCCATCCATCCATCCATCCATCCATCCATCCATCCATCCATCCATCCATCCATCTATCCGTCCATCCATCCATCCAGAAATGAGGCATTATTAAACGCAATTGCCAGTATGGAAATTGCGCTAAAAAATACACCTTGGTAAAAATAGTTTTACTTTCTCTGAGAAATAACAGTAGTGTGGCCTAGCGATAGAACGCTAGACCGCTAAAATCACGAGTTCAAATCCAGGTTTAAGTTAGAAGAACTTCCCTGACTTCACCCAGATATGATGGGTACCTAACTAGTGCTTGAGAAAGAAAAGTCGGCTGGGCACATAGTGCTGGCCACACTATCTCTTTGTACGCAGATGTCACAGAAACACGTGAACTCTACTTCATTTCCCACATGATACGGGTCTTGCAAATAAAACTTTCTAGAAATATTATGAAGACCAAAGCTACTGCATGGGACTGAATGGCTTAGCGGTAAAGCGTTATCTGCTAAAGTCTCTAGTTCGAATCCCGTTCAAGTAGTATAACGACCATGAGCCCAATCAGCCTTTTGAGTTGTTAATTTACGTTAGCGAAAAGTAATTGCCGATGGGCATAGTGCGGTCCACACTCTTTATACGACCCGGTCACAAAGGTGAATGCTACTTCACTTACAACATGAATCGTTAAGCTCTATAAAGTGAACTATTTTTTTAAGCTGCTGCGCATCAATATTTGTATGCAACAATATTTGTTTTAGTCGCGCTTACAGCGGAACTGCTTTCAAATGAACGGATGTGATCGACCCAAGAGTTAATTAGACACGGCTGTTTCTCTAATTGATTAGCCTCGAAAATCTGAAATTCTTGATAAAATAGTCACTGGTTCGTCTGTTGTAATGTTGTCGTTTTACCCATGTGTTCTTACAAAAGAGATCTTTTAGATAGTATAAAAGGTAACATTTATTTATTCTGTAAGTATTCTAAAGCAATTGCAGACGTTGTTTAGGAACATAGCCTAGCTAGGTCTACATCAGCAGCATTTCATATCCCTGCTGATAATTCATTTTTGCCTCTGAATTTTCATATGTTCCGCGCCTTCAATTCAGTCTGGTTAATCTTTTGTCGTAACTACAACAATAGGTGAAGCTAGTAATGTGAAAGAAAGGTGACTGATTAGTATTGCTTAAATACAAGAGTGTGTTTTGATATATTTGCATAAATCACAATACTGATTGATTACTGATTATACTCAATGTCTAAATATTTTATATATGAATAATATAGACATAAAAGTCCATTTAAACAGCAGTATTTTACAGCAAGATTTGATATAAAAAAAATTCATAAAAAACGTTTTAATAACAAGCTTTTATGCAATGATGCACTAAAAAGTAGAAAATAAATTATAGACTACTATTTAAATAACTATAAAGAAAAGCGTGGGTCACTTTAGTATCTATTGGATACCTTTACTAATGTTAAGGAAGACACCCACGCTTTTCTTTATAGTTATTTAAATAGTAGTCTATAATTTATTTTCTACTTTTTAGTGCATCATTACATAAAAGCTTGTTACTAAAACGTTTTTACTTTCTCGTATATACGTAGTATAGAGAAAGTATTGTAATCGTGCAAAAAAAAAAAATCGAGATTTTTACAAATCTCGACGTTTTACACCTCACTGATACGGAAAAACATAATTTTGCAATCTTGTCCGTATGTCTGTGTGTGTGTGTGTCTGTGTGTCTGTCTGTCCGTGTGTAAACACGATAACTTGAGTACCGTTACAGCTAGGTTGATGATCTCCCCTAAACTTTCTCGAATATTCTTATATAAAACAACAGGGGATGGTAACTGGGGATATAGTTATGATTTTTAATCCATTTTAAATACTTAAACTTTTAAAAATAGAATAGAATCTCATAAAAAAATATTGCGCACCAAGCAAACGCCGAATAAAAACGCGTATAATAGTACGCAATATTATTAGTACTTTATAAATTTACATTAGTTTTTTGAGAAATCGGAAGTAGCGTAAATTACTACTTCCGGTCAACGGAAATTGACAGAGGGTAGAGAATTAGATCTCATACTTACATGTGAAATTTCATTTATCTATCTAAAATAGTACTCAAGGTATAGGCTTTTGAAAAATTCAAAGTAGAAAAAGTACCACTTCCGGTTATCGGAAATCGCTCAAAAGTTGATAGGGATCTACGAGTTTGATAAAATACTTATATATTAAATGTCATCAACCTAGCTGTAACGGTACTCAAGTTATCGTGTTTACACACGGACACACAGACACACAGAATACGGACAGAATTGCAAAGCCCAGTTTTTCAGACTCGATTACGCATAAAGCCTCTTAATTTTGATAAATCTGGATTGATAATTTTTGCCCGATTAAAATAAGTCCTCTATACTCCAGATGTGATGAAGGACTGAGGAGTAAAACGGTGAAAACTGTCAAAATTTCATGTTATTTTTGTGCACGATTACAATACTTTCTCTATACTTCGTATATACGAGAAAGTAAAAATATGTCTGATAAGTTAACAAGCTTGGTAGTATCTGTATCTTTATTTATTGCTTAACAAATTTAAATAAAATTGTTTAAAAATAGGGTTACACGAAACATTTTTGTAGCTTTGTAAAACATAAATCGTAAAATTGCAAGTCAATATTATTTTGATTGTCACTTTCTGTCACATTACTAGCTTCGATTGAATTTACTGCCACATGTCAGTGGTAACACATGTGTAATGGGTAGGCAATAGACACGACTTGTCGGCCATTATTGTGTCGTCACAACTTCTCCACATATGAATAATCGGGTCTAGGACTCCCCACTTGACAATTACACCCGATCATTTCTCCCCCCTTCTTGATTTTACCATCGGAGCAATTACCTCCTGTAAATTATCCTCTGTCAATATCCTATATAGAAATTACCCTCTCCTAAAAGTACAAGAATCCTGACTGCAACGCCAGACATATATCTTACCTTAACTCCAATCTTAAGATGAAGGTTTAACCTAAGCATTCGTAAATCTAAGACAAACACAAACCGCAATTTCACTTAACCACAAACCTAACCTATCACTTTTACTTCTAGATTGTTCAGATAAAGAGCATTGATCTATTTTTATACAGAGTGATCCACACGATGACAGGAAGAAAATTACCTCGCAGACATCAATCAAGCTTTAAAAAGTCTACTACGCAAGACGCCGCATCATGTGACTTTACTGTCGTGGTTGACGGCACTGAATTTAAAAGCCACCGGGAAATCCTGAGTTCAGCTTCAAATTACTTCGACGCCTTGTTTAGAAGCAACATGAGGGAGACAAAAGAAGGGAGGGTGGAGCTACAGGGTATGACAAGTGAGACTTTCGCTGTTGTTTTAAATTTTATCCACCAGCGTGTCCATGGTCTGACGGCTGATAACATTGATGACATCTGGGAGGCAGCCAATCGTCTGGATATAGCAATATATCTTAAAGAAATAGAACATTTTGTCATCGATAATTTATCAATTGATAATCTATGGCACTTTTATTTAAAGGCTGTCGATTTCAATTCCAACAACGTCAAAGACGGCTCGGTAATGTTCATGAAACAAAATTACGAGCATGTTTTTAGGATGAACGAGTTTCTGAATATGCCTTTTGAATTAGTGCTTTCTTGTATCGAAGGTGAGGAGTTGAATGTGACGACAGAGGACTCAGTTCTGGAGTCTATTTTAATCTGGGTTTCAAACGGAAAATGCAGAACATGTGCTTGTTTGTCACCTGACCGTAGCGTTACGGGAGCCACGTGTAAAGATATCGAACTACAGAACAGTGAGGGACACTCTTGTGACGTCACAAATTCTTGTCAGATTGGTAGTGTCATAAAAGTTGGTCAGAATTATGACTCAGGAACCGTAGCAACGGACAAGCCTGGAATTAACTTCAGAAAACAAGGCCAGCACGATGACGTCGAGAATGAGGATCACAATGATGACGTCACAAAATGTAGCCGGACAGGCGAACGGGCGAATTATCTCTCCAAACTCATGTCTAGTGCCAAACTTACTTTAGCTACAGTCAGTTACCTAAGGAGTTTACTCACAAACTCCTATATAATCGAATGTCCAGATACCTATCACGGAATACAAGAAGCCCTAAAATACAAGTGTGGGGTGTATCCTTTAGAGAGCGCCACATTGACACCTCTTCGACCTAACAGCGGAAAGAGAAATGCCTTGGCGTTTGTTGGAATGGATTTCGTTCTGCGCCTCTACGATTTGGAGAGCAGGACTTTCAGTAAACTTAAGCTAGAGAATTTCAAGGGACGATACGGAAAGGTGGTGTCTGTAGTATCGCTGGGGTCGACACTTTGCTTCTTATGTGAAAAGTACTTAAGAAATTGTCCTTTCGCCAATCATAAATGCCGCCTTGCGACTGTCCTTTTGTTAGACGAAAATAACAAGTTAGTAAAATTGCATGAAATGTGCGGTCAACACAGATTGCCCTTATATTTATTTATTGTAAAGAACAAAATTTTTTGCGTCAAAACAAACGATCGCTATGCTGTAACCAGAAGTCGCATATTTGAGCCCGATTTATTCAAGACAATCATATTAGACTTCGGTATCGATATTTTTTCATCCTATGTTTTTGAAAACGATATTTTGTGGATTGATTTCGAAGATCATTACATTAATCCTCTTAACTATTTACCAGTCTACACTTACAACGTGGAAACTAAGTCCCAAACAGCAATTGAAACACAATTTCTCGGAAGACAATGTCATATGTCTGTGGCCATACACAAAAACAAAGAAACTTTTATTTTATTCTCAAGCGGAGTTTTAATTTCGGTCAAGAGAGATTCTGACAACGCAGTCAACTTCATACCGGTGGTTCAACTTTGGAATGCTTTTGAATTGTTTTTAAACGGAGCTGTGTGCTATAAAAACGAGCTGACTTTGTTTTGTAGAGCAAACCGTGTACCAAATTTGACAATTTTGTCGTCAGTGCCGGGACTATTTGACAAGATCAATGTCGTCGATTCTACGGAGATGATGTGGACATCAAATATGGTTCCTGTGATAGCTTCCTTGTCTTGGTTTGTGTGAGGTTTTGGCAGTGCTTTTAATGTCACCATTCTTTTGAATAAAAGTCGTCAGCCAATAAAAACCATCGTAAATAGTCAAACATAAAATGCAAAAAAAAAAGATTGTGATTAATTACCTTTAACAAATTCCATCACACAGATTACCAGCTGTTTCTATTTTAATTTTTTTACGTGAATTTAAATCACAAATTATACATTATCCTGTGTATTTTATAATAATTATCATATTGACGCTGTCGGTCATTCAAATGAAAAAAAAATTAAATGTCTGATTAACTTTAACTGTTTTTGATTTTACACCATATTACCCTACAATGAGATTTTTATTTTATTTTTTAAATTAATTTGTAATGTGACAAGAGTGCATGTATTGCCTTCCCTTGTTGATTTCTATACTGCGTTAAACACAATACTATAAAAGCATTAACAGCAAAAGCTGTCACCTCCACCACCTTTTACCCAAACAGCCTTTACCCCAACAGCTACAATCTCAACAGCTTCACCCCCCCCCCCTCAGGTTTAACTCCAAAATTCTTTAACCCCAGAGCCAAACCCCAACAGCTACCACCTACACTGCCTTTATCCCACCACCTGTATAAAAAAATATTACCCGCATTTATCTTGCTCCTAGATTCTCAAACCTTTCAGTCTAGCGTAGGTGACTTTTTAAACGCAGCCAATTATTTGATGTGTAAGTGTCTCTAGATTTAAATAGAGTCAATACCAGAAATAAAAACGATTCTATTACAACTGTATCGGCGTCGGTATTTCATTATTTACCTACTTTTAAAGTAATTCTTTAGTTTAGCATTAACATACTAAATGGAAACTAATTCAACTGACCCCTAGACCCTAATCTTATTTTTACCAATTTTTTTTTAATCCCTAAATTTTTACATGAATATCAGTGAACTATTTTATTTAGCATGATCTGGTTCAAAAAATAGTTTTCATAACTATGATTTGAACCTCATTCAACTATGTATTATTTGCAAAGCTTCGCTCAAACGAATATCCTAAATATCTTAACGAGTACCTTAACAAAATGGCTTCACATGGTAAAGGGCAGCGCCATTCCCCCCCTTCCCGTTTGTAAGTTTACAGCTTCTTGTAAAAAAGATTAAACATCAAGACATTCAAGATTTACGCTTCTTCGCATCAAGAATTTGGTTCCTAAAAACGTCTGCATAGTCGCGGTTATAAATAATCATACGCAATTATTTTTTTTAATTAACGGATGGGGCATTTTCATTGTTGTTTCGAAAGTGATATTTACTTACATTATTTGGCTCGGAAATTGTGAAGTTTTCTGTTTATAAATGTTTTTAATGTCTAAAGGTAATAGTAACGTTGAATGATATATCAGATAATGATAAACCCAAGCCTTACACCTAACATCCTTTGGATTTCTCATTTCTGTGATGGACCGTCTTTATTTATAGCTTTTTAAGAACTTATTTATATCAGAAACGTCGTTTCAGTATCGCTCTATGGTTGAGTCCTTTCGTTCTCACTTAATGGTTGCATATGTGTGCAGTCTCAATGTTGTCTTAACATTTTTAATAATACGCTTAAATAATGGGGCTGTGTGGTTGGGTGGTTAAGCGCCAGATTCATCATTATCTTTAGCTGTTTGTGTCCAATACATAGATCGGGCAGATAACGTAGAGTTCATCAGGTTTGTTTACGTCCCCTGAGTTCACTCAGCTCTAATGGGTGCCTAACAATAGAAAGTCCCTAAGTTCACCCAGCTTTGATATGTGACAGTCTCACGTAAGTGACATAAAAGTCTGTTAAGAGTACTGCTGATCGCATTATACTTTCATATGCAGTTGACAAGAAAAAGATACACAGGACTTCATTAGCCGTATAGAAATTTAACTGCACAATCAAAAATTAACTATATGTAAATAATAATAAATACAGACAGATAACTTCAATCCAAAACCTAAACATAACTTTGATAGTAACCTCAAAGACTAATCTAACCGAGATATTTTAGTAACCATAGACATTAAGTAGAATTAAAATCTAATACTATCGGTGAGACTAAATTTATCACGATAAGAACATTATAAAAACTTCTTCTCCAACTATATTATGCTATTACGCAACGCAGAGTAAATCGGAAACATAGATAAATGGTTCATTTAGTCCTAATCCTTGCGTTGACATTATTCACAACGATACTTAAAGACACATGATTAATCTATCACTTTTTAGTAGTAAAGTTACGTTTATAAGCTGGCGGTCAAAGATGATGTGACCTTTGAGTAATTCTTGTGGTTAGCATTAAATCCAATCATCTTTTCTTATCTTTACGTAAGTCAGGTTTTTATCAGAGCTGGGTGCTCACTGACATAGTACAGATAATCTAGGGATTCGAGCTCGAAACATTTGAATTAGCAGTCGTGAGTTCTACCTTCTTACCTCAACGTCATGCCTTCACTGCACCTTAAAAAACTTTTATGTCCAGATGTAAACTAAGAGATTATCAAAACATTTTTATACTAAGAGATCCACACAACGACACAAAGGATATCTTAATCGCATGCATCATTAAAGCCTAAACATGGATTGTACGCCTAAAACGAAGGCCGCATCATGTTACTTCACCATCGTGTTTGACGGCACTGAATTTAAAAGCCACCGGAAATCCTGAGTTTAACTTCGACATACTTCGACGCCTGGGTGTGTTATGTAAAAGGAAGGAAAATTCTTCATTGATGTGCCAGTGGACGTTAATAGTTCCCTATGCATAAAGCTATTGAAGAAAATGCATTATATGGGCACATGAAGCTATTGAAACGTTTAGATTGGGTTTAAGAAACTGTAACTAAAATCGAATAGTCAATCATGTAGGGAAAATGGGACTTAATAATGTTGAATGTAACTTTAATTTAATTTCACATTCAGACGTGAATCGTGAAATTTAAGTATTTCTACATTTCTACATTATCAAATTCGTTTAGTGACGATGGTTAGTTATGATTTTTTTCTTATTAACTAGCCGGCACAAACATGCCCTGCACTGGCCTTTAAATAAAACTTACAAACAAATTTTACGTGAAAAATATTAATATGAAATATCTACAACCCCACACACACTCGACAAATCCTGGTACAGTTATTAACACCTGAAAATTGTACCATTTTTACAAGCTTTTATTTAACTCACTTCCTCTGTCGACAGTCGTCAGTCTGTCTAGACGGAAACGCAGGAGTGAAAATTCGGACAGTTCTACTTGACCGATACGATTCACAGTTGGCACGTGGGTCAAGACATGAAGACAATGCAATCTGAATCTAAATTTGACTTAATTGGATGCCTAATTAATTTTTTATGAATTAATTAAAATTTGGACCGAATTAGTAGGCATGTCTAGCCAACCACACCACACGCGTCATCAATAGCTGCGCCATCACGACCACGTAATGGCTGCGTTCAAAAACCATTGCGCGCCTACTGAACGCGATATTCAGTAGGCGCGCAACGGTTTTTAGTCATGTAACTCTATTGTAGATAAAACATGTAAAGTACTGAAAAAAAATTCATAAAAAACGTTTTAATAACAAGCTTTTATGTAATGATGCACTAAAAAGTAGAAAATAAATTATAGACTACTATTTAAATAACTATAAAGAAAAGCGTGGGTGTCTTCCTTAACATTAGTAAAGGTATCCAATAGATACTAAAGTGACCCACGCTTTTCTTTATAGTTATTTAAATAGTAGTCTATAATTTATTTTCTACTTTTTAGTGCATCATTACATAAAAGCTTGTTATTAAAACGTTTTTTATGAATTTTTTTTACAAGCTTTTATTTAACTCACTTCCTCTGTCTGTCTGTCTTGACGGAAACGCAGGAGTGAAAATTCGAACAGTTCTACTTGACCGACACGATTCAAAGTTGGCACGTGGGTCAAGACATGAAGACAATGCAATCTGAAACTAAATTTGACTTAATTTGATGCCTAATTGATTTTTTATGAATTAATTAAAATTTGGACCGAATTAGTAGGCATGTCTAGCCAACCACACCACACGCGTCATCAATAGCTGCGCCATCACGACCACGTAATGGCTGCGTTCAAAAACCATTGCGCGCCTACTGAACGTGATATTCAGTAGGCGCGCAATGGTTTTTAGTCATGTAACTCTATTGTAGATAAAACATGTAAAGTACTGAAAAAAAATTCATAAAAAACGTTTTAATAACAAGCTTTTATGTAATGATGCACTAAAAAGTAGAAAATAAATTATAGACTACTATTTAAATAACTATAAAGAAAAGCGTGGGTGTCTTCCTTAACATTAGTAAAGGTATCCAATAGATACTAAAGTGACCCACGCTTTTCTTTATAGTTATTTAAATAGTAGTCTATAATTTATTTTCTACTTTTTAGTGCATCATTACATAAAAGCTTGTTATTAAAACGTTTTTTATGAATTTTTTTAAAAGCTTTTATTTAACTCACTTCCTCTGTCGACAGTCTGTTGATATTCTGGCGACAGTCTGTCGTCAGTCTAGATGGAAACGCAGGAGTGAAAATTCGGACAGTTCTACTTGACCGATACGATTCACAGTTGGCACGTGGGTCAAGACATGAAAACAATGCAATCTGAATCTAAATTTGACTTAATTGGATGCCTAATTAATTTTTTATGAATTAATTAAAATTTGGACCGAATTAGTAGGCATGTCTATCCAACCACACCACATACGTCATCACGTTCAATCAGGTTTAATAGCTGCGCTATCACGTTCAATAGACAAGCAATGGTTTTAAGTCTTGTAACACTATTGCAAATAAAACATGTAAAGTACTGAAAAAAAAATTCATAAAAAACGTTTTAATAACAAGCTTTTATGTAATGATGCACTAAAAAGTAGAAAATAAATTATACACTACTATTTAAATTACTATAAAGAAAAGCATCATTACATAAAAACTTGTTATTAAAACGTTTTTTATGAATTTTTTAAAAGTATGTTGGTGTCTAACTGATCACTTGTTTATTTAGCACTTTTATCTGTTTAATTGCAATGCGAAATATATTAGTATGAATGAGGATATAACAATAATAAAGAAAGACTATAAAGCGTTACCGCATCGATATTCTAAAAGCAAAAAGAAAACTATTATAAAAGTTTTAAAATGCATATTAAGTTGAGTTGGTCATTTATACAGATTATAAAATCGCGTCAAATTAATTGTGTTGGCCGTCATTAATCTATCATTCTCAAATCAACACCTAATGTCAAATATATATTTTTATAGGGTTTTTTTTTTACAAATTTCTTAACAGATATAAATCTGATCAAAACGCATATATTTGACGTAACATGGAACTAAAGCATACAAACAATAATATAAAAGCACAATATTTCTACTACATTATATCTCCATTGTGTCCTGTACAGTAAGATGATTGATGCACAATGGAAAAATGCGCAACGGAAAATGCGCACAAAAAGTTGCAAGGACATTTTGGTTTTCTTAAATTTTACATTTAAAAAAAACAGTCACCACATGTATACTGTAGCATAACAAAAACATATTAGAACGAAATATGGCAAAATTAAAGTGTATTAGTATAATTAGTTAGTATTTGCGTATTTTCCATTGAATAGTTTTTAAATTGCGCATTTTCTAATGTACCATCCTTGACGTCTAATAATCAGACAACGATGTCTATTAGCAAAGCGAAGTCCAAACGAATTTCTTAAATGTGTTGAGGACCTTAATGGAGGCGAGCGAGTTGACGAGAATCCTTCCTTCATGTTGTTGACATGGAATAAAAACGTGCTTTTTAGATTTAGCAAACAAAGCAACCATAAAAATAATAACAAATAAAAACGGAAGCCTAAAATTAATCCAGAAAATTTTCATTTTTAGAATCAATGCAATAAAATTTGAAACTCAAGAGAACTTGAAAAAAAAATTGTTGAGTTGAAGACTACATTTCTATTTATTTTCATAAAAAGTAAATTTAACCGGACGTTTCACTTTCGTAAGACAAATATTGATTGGCTATACAGGAACTCCGTGATCGATAACTATTTGTTTACAAAAAAATTAGATATAATTTTTAAATAACATTGCAAATTCAAACCACATTACCCAGTTTTCCTACTTTTTTTTTTCGCTTACAATGTGTACAATAAAAAAAATTAATTAAAAAAACGTTTTAATAACAAGCTTTTATGTACTAATGCACTAAAAAGCAGAAAATAAATTATAGACTACTATTTAAATTACTATAAAGAAAAGGCTAATTTAAGATAAAATTTAATTTGAAAGTTACTACTAATAGACTTAGATCTATGTGCGTAAATCAAGTTGCAAAAGGAGACTTAAAATATAGTATAAAAATTCACTTGAGTCGTCAC